GCTATTGATTTACTAAGACGTCTTAATTTTCTTATGAAGTCGTTAAAAAGACAATTTAATCGTTAATTAAAACGCGTATATATAAAATAATAAAATACTTTTACTTTGAATTAACTTTGAACCACTTAATAAAATAATTGTTGTTTTGTTTTGAAAATGTTTGATTTTATTGGTTGATAAACGAAGCGATTACTATAAATATGTTTAAAAATACAGTAGGTCAACAATTTAGTTGGTTGGAAAACTAATTGTACATGTTTTAATTAGGTGTAAATATATAAAAATCTAAAACTGTCGGTTGAAAATTAAAAACGTCATATATTATGGTTTATAAAATTTACAAATTAGGTTGAGCTAAAGGCCACCTTTTAGAGGAAGCATTATAGAAGAAATGATAAAAACTTAAAACAAAAGTTAAGTTTAAAAGAAAGCTATACAGAATATTTTTTTTATATTTTTGTGTTTAGGGGAGACTTGGGCTAGTTGCAACAATGCGTTTTAAAGAATGGTTTTTATCAAGGCTAGTGCAATTAGGGGGGGGAGGGTTACACCCCCCTACCTTCCTATTAATAATTTTTTCGTTCATTTACTCGGTAAAAGTTGTACTACCACACACATTCCCCCCCCCCCCCCCACGTGACATTTATAAAACTCCAATATTTTTTTGATGATATGATATTAACTCTTACTCCAAAAAAAAAAAAGCCTAGTCAAACATTTTGGTTATATTACTTATTACTGATATATAAATATATAAATTAAATAGTCCACTTTTTGTTTCTTACATTCTTATTTTTCACGCCATGAAAGTCAATGTTTCGTGCTAATAGACTCTCAATACTCAAAATGGCGAGGTCACTTGTTTGTTCTTATCCCATAGTTGAGCGCAAAAAATACTTGATGAGCTTCAATTTACTGAATGAACGCTCACTTGCGGCCACTGTCACTGAAATTGAAGCAAAAATACGCAGTACAATCACTACATTACTAAAGAGTTCCCCAAATTTCAGAAATTTTGTTTATTAAGTCAAATGGGAAAAGAGCTTATTTTCCAAAGTTTGCATTATAAATTTGTTTTATGTAAAGAAATTATTCAGTAAGTTTTCTAAAATAAGCTTCGATCACGTGATCACTTTTTCCGCAAAATAAATATAAGCATATAGATAAGATTTAAACAAAAGCTTCTCCAGACCAGAGCTAGGGAATGCCCGTTAATTACCTCAACGATTTTCCGGCAATATTTTTTTACCCTTCCCCTTGTCATCAAGCTATCAAACTTCCAGAGACCTCTCTGAAAAGTCAACATTCAGTTATCTCATCCGCCAACCATCCAACCCCCACTACTGCCCCTTCCACAAAAAGAAATATTTAAATAGAAAAATAAAAACATATTTTGAATAGAATAATTTACAACTTAAACAAAAAAGAGATTAAAATTAACTTTTTAGAGTGCCATTTAAAATTATAAACGTTTGCTCTGAGAAAAACGTAAATAAAAGTAAAAGGTATATAAAAAAATAAACACATAAATATAGTAAACTTTAAACTTAAGAACATATTTCCAGCTTATAACTTCAAAAACTTACAGCGAACAAAAAAACAAAAATTAAAAACAACCTAATGAAACAGAAGAGTTTATTACGCAATACGCAAGCAACAAGAGCAGACGAGTAAACGTTTAATCAAGGACGTATTAATAGATGGACATTTAACGTATTGTTTAAACGCCAAGTACTTTTGAGTTTTTTGGTGTTACTTTTCATAACACCAAAAAACTCTAAAAAGTTTATAAATAAATAAAACCTTTTCATTTTATGATCAATAACCTCAAGCGAAATCTTTACATGGAAAATAAAAGTTGATCACAGAAAAATATCAAAACAAAATTGTAAGTGAAATAAAATTTCCGACAAAAATGAGAAATTTAAATACTTAAAATAATAGAGAAAATTTAAATACATAAATTAACTAAGTGTTTAATGAGAAATTTAAATATCAAGTTTGACATTTTAAAACAGATGAGCTATTTCTGATTAACTAAAATGCATTAATTTTTAAAAAAAGTTAGAGTTTTGTAGGTAGTTGCACTTTTTAAAAAAAGTAGTTAGAAAAGTGAAAATATTGGAAAAACGTCTAAAAAAACTACTTTTTTTTCTAATTAACAGTCATCTCACATATGCTTATATAGTGTGTGCTAATACACTCAAAACAAAGTTAATCAAACTACAAGGCTTACGAAACCATGGTTGTAAAGCAATTCATTATCTAGGTAGAATGGACAATCCTACTAATGCAATGACAAATATGAAAGTCTTAAACTTAAAAAAACTTATTTTATACCAGATTCTAATTTTTATGTCTAAAAAATAAAAGGCTACCAAATTATTTTTTAGACATATTTTTGCCATCATTTTCTCAAAGTTATAATCTGCAATCAAATAGTTTCCATAACAATTATATTAAAAAAACTAAAACCCGGGGTTCTGAATTTTAAATTACTTCACAGGGTCCCAAAATATGGAAAAACTTGAAAAATCAAAAATTAAAAGACTTAAATGGAATATCGTCGTTTAAACGGCAAGCAAAGCTGCATATTCTTAGTTTGTAAAAATGATTGCAGTCAGAGGCGATTTTACAAATAAAATGAGGGGCGGGGGGGATAGTGAATTCTAAAAATGTGCCGACTAGCTGCAAAAAAAAAAAAAAAAGAAAAAAAAGAAAAAAAAAAGTCCTCAAAACGAGAATTTAACTAACTACCCGACTGAATTCGTAAAAACACCGATTAAAACTTGAAAATCACCATCATAGGAGGAGGGGGGTTTTATACCCCGTAAAATTGCCCCACACAATCCCCCTCCCCGTCAAATCGCCCCTGATTGCAATATATTTAAAAAATTAAAAATATATATTTTCAATACATGTAAGTTGAGGTATATATTTTTGTAATATATTTGATTTAATATATTAAGCTTTCTTATTCATCACTTAAAGAATGTTATAAAAGTGCTGTAAGGCGCAAAAAGTTATGAAAAGTGTCAAAAAAATTCAAAAACAACTTAGCTAAAAGGTATATTAAAAAGAAAATAAAGGAAAACAAATTCCGGACTTTTTTCCGGATTTTTCATTATTTTTAAAATATGATTAGGACGATCTATGTATACAGTTATAAGTGCAGTCTATTAATTATATAATAATAAATTATAAAAACCTATTAGTAATATAACATATTAGGTTTATAGGTGCGTTCTGAAGTATTTATACTTTCAAGATGAATAAATATAAAACTTTGATTAAAATTATTAGCATAATAAAAGAGCCTCTCTAATATACCGTGTTGCGTTATAGATTTATAGATATACTTATAAATTTACTTTATAAAATATAATTATAGATGTACTTATAGATTTTCAAAAATAAAATAAAAAAAAATAGAAAAGGCTAAACTTGGTCTATTTCCCCCCTCTCCTCCTATCATCTCGTTTTAATGTTAATATAATAATTTAGACAAATATAGAACTTACTAAAATTGATAACCTTATTGCTATGAAGAAAATAATAGATCATATCATAACTATACATCAAAGATATATCAAATATAAATCAAAGGTTTTATTATTGAAATATACAGAAATATGTTCTAAAAAAAGTTCTGTTTGATGGATCTATTTTTGTCATGTTACAAATAATTGAACGGGTTCTACTCTATCATGTTACAAATAATTGAACGGGCTCTACTCTATCATGTTACAAATAATTAAACGGGTTCTACTCTATCATGTTTAAATCTTTCAAACGACGATTTTTATTGTTCAGAATTTTAGTTCTTTCGTTCGTTAATTTTGTTCTTGCCGTTTTATATTGAACGTCTATCATTTTCTCCTCCAAAAACTGAAGAATTCCTTTTTTGTCTAACAAAAATAATTGCAAAATTTATATTTAATATAAGTTTATATATGTAAATTAACATTGAAACTATTTAATTTAAAAAAATTTACTAGTCATTTTTTTTTTCATTAATATAACTTTGAAAGTGTTGTATTAGTTGTGTCTCTTCATTCAAAACCCATTTATGATATTTTCTTTCTGAAATTTGTTTTACAGTCAAATAAATCAGCTATAACATATGTCAGTTAAAAAATTTACACATAAATGTTTTGTTTAACAATGTAATACATTAAAAATTTAACAAAAGTATTTTCATTTTATGCATTTATTATTAACAACTATTACTATAAATACTAATAACAACCTGTCTATCTACTGTTAATTAATAGTAATCCCCACCACGTCCCTGGTAGTACCGCGCTCAACTCGTTTCTCCGCGCAGCGGCCTTGTTCGTCAAGATGCGTGTTTCGGAGTTATAGAGTTGAGAGAGGGTTATATCCACAAAATAAGTAGCCTCCTCGTCTGTAGTGGCCTTCTCGGCCTTGAGAAGGTGAAGTAAAATAATAATAAAAAAAAAAAATAGTTTTACTTTGTTACATAAGTTATTATTCTAAAATATACCTGGCACAATTTCAGGTTGGTAGATTTTTCCTTCTTTCTTGTTTGTACCTCTGCTTCTTGTTTCTACGTCTTTGAAATGTTTAAAAAAAGAACTTTATTAAATCATGTTTATAGATATGATTATATATATTTTTAAAATAAATATGTTTTTAAGGAAAGATATTACAGATAATTATATATAGTATTATAAATATACTATATATAATTAATTTAGTTTTAATACAATTTTAATACAAAGCCTAGGTTGAACTTAAGCCAATAAGTCAAAAATATTGAAAATAAAAATGTTACCTCTTTGTCTAATTCAACCGAATAAGTCAAAAATGTTACCTCTTTTGGTTGTTGTTTTTTTTTAAATACGTTTTAAAGTGCTGTAAAATGCAGCACTTTAAAACACACAATGACTTTACTCAAAAACCTCCTAATAGTTTTTGTGTGAAGTCATTATTTTGACAGAAATAATTTTAATTTTAAACAATGTGTGTACTACTTAAAAAATATTGGCACAAGTTTATATAATTACACGATAATTTTGTCAATATTATGATTTAATGTATGATGTCATAATTACTATTTGTGTTTTTTGAAAATTGTTTTGAATTCATTTTTTTAGTTTTTTCTGTAAGAAATTATAAACAATATAAAATAAATATATTTAAAACAAATTTTTGTTTAAAAAAAAAGGTTATACCTTCTTTTTCGTACTCTCGCATAAACATCCATGTTCACAATGTACCTATTATTATAACTTACTATAAGTGATACATAATATACGCTAAAATAAAATTTTTGAATTTTTTGAGACAATCTTGTTAAAGTAATAATAGCAAGCATATTTTACATTTGCAAGCATAATTATTTGAATGATTTTTATGTCTGCAATCTTTTTTAATACAAAATTTAAATTGAACTTAAGCTAAGAAGTCAAAAATATTTTTCTCTAATTCAACCAAATGCTAATTAAAAATAAAAATTAAAAAATTAGGTATATGTGTATATATATACATTTACAACTGCATACCTAGTTAAATCCTAAATTAAAAAATATATATGACATCATTTAATGAATACTTAAATATAAAGGATATAATAATATAAAGCTACGTTATCTTTATCGACATAAATATTTATTAGCAGTTTTTTGTATTAGCGTAAAAGTAATAAAATATAAATTTTGCATTTGTGTAAAAGTAATAAACAAAGCATACATCGATGCTTTCTTTATTAAAAACCTATAAAGAAAATCTATATAAAGAACTCATTGTATTACATTATGTAGCAAAGAAAGGTAAAACAAGACGAACTTACCTCAATATTTAAATCAATTGAGCTTTTGTCAATTAAGGAAAATGTGTTTAACAAAGATATATTTGATGAAAATAAGTCTCATTTATTTGAGCAATATCAGAAGAACCAGCACATGAGCGTTTCTAAATGTAAGAAATGACATCTTAATACTTTAATAAAAGGGGCTGTTCAAATAATGGCATTTTCCGTAAGCACTTTTCAACGTGTCGCAAAAACCACATGGAGAAGAGGGTGCTAAGCTACAGGGTGACGTGATAATTTTTTTTAAATTTAAATTCTAATCACAGCAAAATCGATGAAATTTTAACCAAAAATTTGCTAACTCTGAGGTAAGTTAGGAGGTTGTTTGTTTAAAAATAATGTCACGTCTCATATAGGGGGGATAGAAGGGGTTGACAAAAATGTTGTCACATGCTGTCACGTGTTGTCAAAATGTTGTCACATGGGTGTCACGCGTTATTTGTACAGCCCCTAAAAATATTGATTAATTAATTATAGTAGAGAAATTAAAAAGTGCACATTTTATACATCCCCGAATATTGTGGGCCAGTCGACACGAACTAAAGCCAAAAAAAAAGATTTGTGCAAAGTAAAAAAGGAAAATAGATTGATTCGCACCAAATTTCGTTAAGGTAGTAAAAATTGATATAAAGTATCATTGTTTAATGTCTCAAATTATTTTGCATTCACATAAACTGCTTATGCCTATAAAATAAATGTTAATATTTGTACTATACGGCATTCACTGAAGTTTTAGGGCATTTTTAAATGTCAATAACAAATAACTGTGAATGATTTGATTTATATCAATAATATCATATTATATAAATGGGGCGACTCACAGAAAATAATATCAAATCTTTGAAAAATAGTTCAGGAGAAATTAAGCAGTATAAGAAGTGTCCTAAAATTTAGATTAAAAATTACCTTATAAATAAGAGTTAGTTTTTTTCTCCAACTTTGTATTAAAACTAAATTAATAAGTACTAAAGAGTGCACCTGAAAATAATGAGTATTTGCACCTAAAAATCAAGAATACTTTGAAATGCATCTTAAAACGATAAATAATTAAGGGGGGTAAACATTTAACGGTACACTTTGAAATTAAAAATTCCATAGGATGCACATAAAGTTAATATTTATTTCAAAACGCATTTTAAAATAATTTATAGTGCACCTAAAAATGATAAATATATTAGAGTGCACCTAAAAATGATAAATATTTCAACACGCACCTAAAAGTCACAAAGACAAAATTGTGGGGTGCACCTTTTTTTTACATTTGTTAGTCGTATTACAATTATATATTTTCAAAAATAAAAATAATGAATTTTCACAAATTTTTGATAAACGAAAAAACAAGGTATCTAAAAGAAGATCAAAGGATCTTACAAGCATTTAACAAAGGAACTACAATATTAAATTTCTACAAATGTTAAGTAAAAAGTATAAAAATCAACAAAATAAGTAAGAACAAACTTTATATAAATGTAAATAAGTAAAGGCAAAATGTAAAAGATTAAGGTTTTTAAAAAAGCAAAACTTAATGGGTACTTTGAAATTAAAATTCAGCAAAACAGTTTTATTCCAAAGATGTGGTGCCCGGTAGGCAATACAAAATCGATTAAAGTTTGTTTGACAAAAAGGTAGTCGATATGATGATTTCAAGTGATGTTTTCATCAAAATAAATACCTAAAAAATATATATATATATATATATTTTAATTTCATAATTCTTCAAACTTTTATATTCCTCATTTCAAATTAATTTCACTCCATAGGCAAGTAATAAACGCGGCGGAGGAGTTCTTATATATATAAATGAAAACATTGTTTCTTATGTTAGGAATGATTTAAGTGTATCTAATGCAGGGTTGGAAAAAATCACAATTTTTTTAAAAAAAATCAAAAAAATCAGATTTTTTTGATTTAAATCAGATTTTTTTGATTTAAATAAAATATTTTTTGATTAACTTTTAATATAATTTAAAGTAATATGAAATTGGTTGACTGTGTTTTTTTTGTACATAATGCAGTGGTCAAACAGGTCAAAAGTATACTCAGGATTCTAAAATCATTTCTTTTAAACTTATACCTCCACAAAACTATCCACAAATTTTGACTGTTTGTCAAAATTTTTGTCAAAAAAATATTACTCTTAAATGGTTTAAAACTCTAGCTATATTTTTGCAGAAACAAAAATATTTAAAACATACTAAACAAAAACAAAAAAATATGTCTGGAAGAAGATCTAACTCAGTGTGGTCCAAATTTGAAAAGCTTGAAACAAAAAGTGGGAAGGGATGTAAAGCAAGATGTAGGATATGCAAAAAAGAACTGCAGGGTCTGGTGGCAAGAATGAAAGTACACTTAAATAAATGTTGTCACGAAAATAATACAGAAGGTGATATAATATACACTTTATAATAATTAATTATTTTTTTAATTAGTATTATTTAATTCAAAGTATTTTTTTAGAAATTGAATTTCAAACTACTTCTTCCTATATTCAATTTGATGTTACAAAGCAACCCTCAGAATCATCTGTTTTAGCAGAAAAATGTTATTTAAATGTATCAGCAAAAAAAATCACGGACTGAAAATATAAATAATAATGGTCCAATAAATAAAAATATAAGTTCTGGATTATTGTCACATGTTGTTAGAACAAGTCAGAGTCAAAAGGCCGTATTTGATGAGCAGATTGCAAGAATGATTTTTGCAACAAATTCATCATTTCAATTAGTTGAACATCCAGAATTCCAAAAACTTATGTTGATGTTGAGGCCAGGCTATAGTGGCCCAACAAGAAAGGACGTAGCTGACAAACTCCTAACAATAGTGTTTGATAAAGAAAAGGGTAACGTTAAAAACGCTCTAAATGGAGAGATTGTAAATATAGCACTGGATGGTTAGTCAAACGTTCATAAGGAGCCTATAATTTGTGTTACAGTTACAACTGAAACAAGTGATGTCTATTTAGCTGACACAATTGACACATCTGGAGGCCCGCACACTTCTGAATATCTTGAAGAACTAGCAGTTTCATCAATTAAAAATATAGAGCTTGAATTTGGGTGTCGTGTGGGAAGTATTGTGACTGACAATGCAGCTAATGTTTCAAAAATGAGGCATAATATTGAATCTCGATCAGATATTGATGTAGTTACATATGGTTGCTCTGCACATTTAATGAATTTGTTAACACATGACCTAGAAATTGACAATGTTAAAGATCATATAGTAAATATTGTCAAATATTTTAGGAACCACCATTTTGCTTTGGCAGAATATAGAAAAGCTAGTGGACAAAAACTTGTATTGCCTCAAGATACTCGCTGGAATACCATGTGTGACTGTCTAAAACTGTATATTGCAAATTGGTCAACTCTGCTAAAAATCTGTGAGTCTAATCGGGCCATAATTGACACTACAGTGCAACAAAATATCTCTAACTTAGTCATTAAGAGATCTGCAGAAGATCTACTTGCTCGCTTAGAACCTATTGCTTTTGCACTTGATAAAGCACAAAGTGACAAATGCAAAATTGCAGATGTAGTGGAAGTATGGAAAAATCTAGAAAACAAACTTTTGTGTAAAAGTGAGAAAGTTATCCTAAATAAATTCAAAAAAAGATACGACAAGGCAGTGACACCATCCCATTTTCTGGCTAATCTTCTTCACCCACATTACCAAGGTAGAAAATTGAATGAAATTGAAAAAAATACTGCTTTGGAATATGCCAATCTACAATACCCACATATTATTCCTACAGTTATGAAATTTAGA